TAGGGAAAAATGTGTCTAATTGGAAGTACTATAGTGTTGGAGATACCTTTCTATGATACCCATTGGTAAGAGGAAAAGAACAACAAACTCTAAAATAACAGCTATTTCCTTAAAATAATGTTTTCATAGCTGTACAAAGCTCAGCCTCCCCAAGCCCTTTGGTGGGAGATACACGGCCATGCATCAGATCAGCGCTCCAAGATGCCAAACAGAGCTGGATGCTGATGGGACTGAGGGACCACGCTTTGTGTGCCCCAGTCATGCAGCGACCTGGCTGCTGCACACTGCGCTCCGACTAAGCAGGTGAGCGAGATTTCCCCAGCACCCCTCTGTGGGAAGCAAGCTATTCACTCCATGATTTGTATAATTTTGAATTTGTTACACTTACTAATTCAGGACCTCATGGTTCTAGGTGTTGTAAATTTGAAACAAAGGGGTATCTTTTCTCTGTGTTTTCATAAAAAATGACAGTCAATTTAAATGTATATTTTTTGTAATTGATTTAGTGTGCCTTAAAATTTCTTCCAACTGCTCCAAGATCTTTCAGTATCTGTTTTGAGCTCCCACAGCTTGACTTTCTACCCCTCTATATTAATGCATAAATAAACCTGTTACTAATCTATTTAGGCAGCTCAGTTTTAGGCAGACTTATATCCAGAGCATTTCTTTCAAGATCTTTAGCAATCCTGTTTCTCAGTCACTGAAATTAGCTCCTTATGACTAAGCTGAAAACAGTCATTTATTCATGCTCTAACTCTCCTTTTGGGTTTTTTAAATTGTCTCAAACCTAGTTTTGAGTGTTAAACTTGTTAGAGCAACTTTTCCTGCTGCAGTTTAAACCAGAAATACTAAAGATTTCAATAACTCTAGTAGCTTAGATAACACTTATGTGCCTGAATAGAGTCTAAAACATGCAAGTGTCTCCAATAACAGGTCCAATTAGCCGGAAGAAATGTGACACAAAATCCCAGTGATACTGTGATACTACCTGTCAACCATGGTTACTGCTGCCTGTACAAAAAAAGAAAGAGAGTGTTAAAGACAGAAAAGATAAATTTCTTGCATTAGTCTACTTCATGCTGTTGATCTGTATTACATGAATGGTTCCAAATGCTTAGCGTGCCCTAATGCCTGTTAGCTTAGAGTGAGCTAACTGGCTCTCACCCAGCTCCAAGAACAAAGACGTGCCTCACTCTCCATTCAAATGAACAGATCTTGGCTGAATTTACAGTAAGATAACATGCAGAATCAGGCAGTGACCAGTGTCTGTCTACCCATCTAGACTCTAGACTCTGTTCTTCTTCAAGTGTCCAAAGTGCCAACAGATACTTCACAAACAAAAACCAATAGCTAGGGAAAAGAACTTAGCGAAATCATCTGCATTGGAGGGAGTCCAAGCAGTTCATGTTACTGGAAGGCAGATGTACTGTCCCTGGAGAAACCTAGGCAGCTGAGAGCTCATGACCAAGAGCTATTCACTTCTTGGTGAATAATGGTTCCTAGGGGTGATATAAAACTGTTTAAGAGCTTAGGAGAAAATAAAGTTATTCCAGAGATGCAAAGGAATGGGAAAAGTCAGCTCATGCAAAGAACTCAGCAGGTTGGAGTGACACAGCAAGCTGATCCACTGGAGCAGACGGGAGGTGTTAGATCTGTTTGCTGTCCAGTTCAGAAGTTACTGTGTTTGTGCTATAGAAATGTTCCCTCCCACCTGAGTCACAGAACAGCTCACATTAGAGCAATCACTCATCAGAAGTGAAAATTCTCATTTTTTTTCCAATTATTTTTCTACTTGCTAAAGAAAAATAACTTCTTGACACCTCCTCAAAAGTGGGATTCATCCATCACTTTGCAGGAGCTCCTGATGTATTTAGTTTGGAGCCTCCTGTTCAGGTGAACTTTCCAACAAAATGAGCAAGAAAAAGAAACATCTTCCATAGTGGTTGCATCAGCCTGCCTGCTGTGAGCCCAGAATAGAGCAAGTGTGCTGAGCCTGCATGAGGCAATGAACACTAAGTGCGTCCAGTTTCTGGAGACAAGCCTTTTAGGGAGGTATCTTCTCTCTAAACCCCAGTGAGACTCACAAATCATTGAGCATCCAAGTTACAAACTTCTGCTGCTGCTTCTGCATTTTGGCCCCATTGTGTTGCCCCAATAAATCAATGCCACCATACCAAGCACCTGGAGCAGTGACAGCACCATGGACTGAGCACCCCAAATGCTCTCTAGCAATAAAACCATTTGGGACTTCCCAGCTAGGGACTACTTGCAAGCAGCAAAGAGCAATTTAGAAAGGGCCTTGCCAGTTAAAACTCTTTACCTTCATAAAATCGGCTTTGTCATTTTCCAGGTAAAGCTCCTGGGTTGCGTCTGTCAACTCCTTGCAGCTGTCAAGATGTTCCCCACAACTGACCAGCTGCCCATATAAAGCTTCCAGCTTCTGTCTCTTCTCTTCCCCCAGTGCTTCCAACTGTTCTTTGTACTTCTGAGCAAGCACTTGCACTGCATCGTTGTAATGCACCTCGAAGTTCTGCTCTTGCCTCCCAAAGTTTTCCTGCAAGGCATTTGGGGGTTTGTTCCTTGGTGTCAGGCCTGATCCACAGGTCAGCCAGAGAAAAATCTTACGCAGGTCTGCCTAAAATTCTTCTTGCCAGGGAGGCAATGCCAGTACACAGAAGCTGTAATTTCACTAATTTGCATTTTTAGGGGTTTATTCTAATCATTCACCACTACTGAGGCACAAGAGAGTGTTGGATTTGGTTCCAGACATAACAGCATCAGAAATTATAATAAAAACAATGATGCAAGGCAACTGTCTCCAACCTAAGACCAGGGAGCACAACTAGGGATATATCCTGGTCATAATCTCACAAGTGTTTCCACCAACTCAGTCAAGCACATCCTTCCATGAGAGAAACCATAGCAACCCAGTGGGATCCATGGATTCACACTGTGGGAGCTGAGCAGCTAATGCTGGTATCCTCACTCACTGCTAGAGAAAGCATTAGGAAGATTTAAGGAGCAGGCAAGTCTTTATTGACAGCAGCTGCCCGCTGCTCAGACACCTATGTCCTTCTGTGCCACATGCAGCAGAGAAAAGACAGTAGGTGCCTTGAATTACTGCTTCAGTTTGACTTGCTGCCAGCTGGGCACCCTCCCAGGGCCAAACTGACATCAGCCAAGCAGGAGCACAACCCTTGAGATGCTGTAGCTCAGTGCAGCTGGTCCAAGGGTTTGCCTGTATCTGGCACTTCTGTAAATGAAACCAAGTGAGCACAAGGGGTACACTCTGGATGGAATAGTTAGATCACAGGTCCTTGGCCATTTAAAACCAAGATAACCTGAGTGGGGGTCATGTTATTTCTGACTGCAAGTGTCTATGCAAATGCTTAATGTGGTTTTACTAGCCAACTTAAAAAATTCTTTAGGATTAATTTTTTTGAGTACCTCAGTCTAGGCAAACGCCAAGTAACTCTGTGCTCTGTTACCATAATTACTCACCTCATTACCAACTGAACACTATGACTGTCAAAACTGTTCTAACCCTAGTACCACAAAGTTAGCCCAAGAAAAAATGCCTTACCTCAACAGTGATGAAGATTTCCTCCAAGTGACTGGCAAAGTTTTCCATCTGAGCAATCTGCTCTTCCAACTTGCATATGTTTTTATGAATCTCCTCCTACCAAAACACCCAGTGTGATTCTTATTATGTCTGAACACTGTTTTAGAGGCACCATAGTACACTTTTATTACTCTTACCTTTTCGCTTTCCACGGCACTGGGGAGCTGAGCCACTTCGTGATCCTTGTGCTCACCAAACAGTTTGTCAAAAGCTCGGATTGGCATCTTGCAGGTAGAGCAAAAAACATCTGCTGCTTCCTCCTCCTCACTGACAGCCTGACTGCTCCACGCATCTGATATGCCGCTGCTGCTAAGGCCCTCTCTGGACCACGTGTGGCTCTCAGCCTCATCCTCTGCTCTGGCTTTGCTCTGATGTTCATTTTGAGAAGCCTTGCCAGGAAGTCCCTGTTGCTTTGTGCTTTGACTTTGATCTTTCACTGGAGAGCTGCTTTTTGATGCATTATATACAGAGCCTTGTGATCCTACTTTTTCTGTGCAAGCAGGTGGCCATCTGCCCTCCACCACCTCCAGATGTCCTCCAAGAAGCTCAAGCTCTTTTTCTCTATCCTCATCAAGTCCATACATCTTAGCCAACTCTGCAACCTCCTTTTCCAAGTCATATCCAGCTTCCTGTGGGCACTGAAATTTTTTGCTACTCAATGCAGATTCCCTTCTGGTATCTCCCAGAGATCTCTCTCTTTGACCAAATGGCTCTTCAGGAAAGATATCAAACCTTTCCCTTGATCCATAAAGATCCATGTGATAAAATATCAAGCCTTCAGCCTCAGTCTCACTAGACTCTGGAACTGGTGGGGAAGCCGAACGACTGGGCGACTGGTCACTAGTTTCATACTCTTTTGTGCTGCCAGATCTGGATGACATTGGTATCTTCAGTGAGGCTTTTTGAGATGACAAGTCTCAATCCTGTAAAAGGAAAAAAAATCCTTAGCTACATGCTTAGATGTCAAACACGAGTTCTCCTTGCTTAAAAATACATAGATGGAATAGGTTTGGCTGAGGACTGCTGGAGGTAGGAGGTAGGCATGGGAGAGACCAAAGCCGGTAGCTTCACTTCCTAAGTGAAACTTCTGAAGTGAAGCCATGGGAAGCTTGTTTTTTCTCACCTCCATGCAAAGCATGGCAGAGCACTGTCTCTGGTGTGCATCCTATGTTAACTGAGTGGCTCACCTGTGACCCTGATGTCTGATTTCCAAACTGTGGAGTAATCCTGTCCTCAGCTCAACACTGCGACTGTGCTGTTCTGTGCAACTGGAGATGGCCTGATTTGAAGTCTGCTCACCCTTCAGCTGCTGTGAGCTTTCTGAACTGTCAGTCAGGCATACTGTAGGATGCCCTCTTTTGTCACCACTGATGCCACATAACACACTAGTAAATGCCCCAAAATATCGTGTTCTGGATTTTTCAGGTTGCCATTCTTGATCCTGAAAATTGAGGTTTCTTTTAACTTTATTCTCAGTCCATGTCTCCAGTTCTTTTTATAAAACAGGGGGAAATACTGCCCTTTGGGGGTTTTCAGGTGCTGTGAAAATACATATTTTAATATAAATGAAGCTCAGAAAAATGATTGATGATGATCTCCATGATAAAGCATACAGTAACTAGGAAGCAAGGCAGGTCATTGATCCCTGAATTGAACGAAGTCCACTCCGACCTGGAGCTTGCACACTTTGTCCATTCTGTGCAATGTGGGAGATATGAAAAGAGCATGTGGATGCAAAATGCAAAGCTGTATGATAAAGCAGATGCACATGGGACAACATTAAAGATGCAAAGGCAATTTTAATGCTGACTCCCCAATTATTAACAACAGCACATGAAATAAGGTTAGTACAGAGAGACCATGTGGTCTCTGTCAGAGAGCTGCAATGTCCTTGCAGCCCTCCACTGTTCACCAGCACTAACAAAATCATGGCTATAAAACTACTCAGGTCAATTTTCTCAGCAGTTTTCTATTACAATCAAAAAAGTTAATGGAAAGATTTCAGCTGAATATTAATAAGCCTGTATTTACACCTAGTACTAGCTCAGTGAAGCATATGAAAGCTTTAAAACCACTTTCTCACACAAAAAAGCCAAAAAGTCAGTCAGACATCAAGGTTATCAGAGCTTCTGCAGAAAGCTTTCACATAAGCTTTGCTTTCAAGCTACTTTTTACGGTCTTTGTAGTATCAAGTACTTGCTATCACCTCAAATTTATTTCACCAATATTTTACTGATATCCCTAAGGATTACTTAGCTAACAAAATCAACACAGTCGGTGACTTATTAGAACACAACTTCTTGAACTGGTGAAAAATACTAAGAAACTTCCAATTCTCCAGTTTTATATCAATGACTGAAAACAGTCCAGCCTACCACATCTGCAAGAAAACACACACAGGTCACCATTTTTCTTCTGGCAGTGCAGACATGGATGTAGATTCTACAGCTAGCAATGTCTTTCTATAGACAAAAACACTGAAGTTAGGCAGAAATACTATTTATGCTAAAGGCAATAAAATAAATCATGCAAATTCTAACAAATTAAACAGAGAAAAGGTCTTGACACATACCAGAAAATGTTGTCTGGCTCCGGCAAAGACTTTTTTCCCCATAATTATATCAATAAGGCTTGCTTTAGAAGCTACTACTAACTAGAAAAGTGAATTAACAAGTATTTTTCCTACCAAAATGAAATTAAATTACATAAATTAAAATGAGCACAATTAAGCTTGTCTGGAACCCTGCTGCCTAAATAAGACTTTCAGATGATTGCTCAGTGTTTGCTCAGTTTACAAGCACAGATACAATTACAGTGAAGAATGTTCTAGTCCGTGACCATCAATTATCAAAAATATATAACAAAGAATGTTACTACCTAAAAACTTGCCTTCTATCTTAAGACGTCATAAATTCTTCTGATAGCTCAGATGGCATCAAACTTCACATTTACTTCCCCTAGTAAAAATCAATTCACATGAAAGTAATTCCCTGCCACTTTCCTATGACTGCAGTTGGAAGACTTATTACCGTAACCCTAGACCGCCTCTTTGCTCAGATAGGGCCATGCCAGCAATGAGCAATGGAACAAATATAGATGTGCCCCAGCTGTCCTTCAGCAGCGTGCTACGTGAGTGTCACCAGGATGAATGTCATACACCGAGAAAAGGCTCTGAAGGTTGATTCCTGGATTTGAAGTACTTGGAACAATTATACAGACCCCTTGCTAAAGCCAGAGCACCCTCTCACTTTCCGAGCTGGTGTTAATAAACCCAGCAGAGTGCAGTCATTGACTCTAAGGCGTGATTTCCAAGGCTGTGGTGCTAGGCAGAGTATCATGTGCAGGATAAACAAAAAATGCTCTCTGCACAAACAAACTCAAATGGCTACATGCGTGCTTACAGCATTGCTGTACAATTAAATGGAAGTATCTGTTCTGCTCTTTGCAAAAGTTTAATGGCAAAGTCTGTTAAATTAGGTGAAGCTTTATTACTCGGTTGAGTTGGAATCAAGATCAGATTCTAGAAAAAGATATTAAAAATCAGAATTTAGAAAAAAAATCAGAAATCATAATGTTGCATACCCTTATTATAAATATACATACATCCCCAGCCCATGGGTGTATGATAGACCTCTGGAAAGCTAATAATAGTGAAGAAAATGGCCAATGGCCCAGCTAGGGAGAGTTGGGGAACCTATCCCTTCAGTCTACATTCAGTAGTGGATCACCTGATGAAAACCAGGCTGTATATTACCACTGATTATTGTGATCACTGTAGTACTTGAGCTCTGTGTATCCACTCAAACCCACAAACCTTTCAGTTGTCCAGCATAAAGAATCTTCTGCTTGGGAAAGCGCTAGTGAGCAAGCCTTGCTGGCAAGAGGTTTATAAGCACGTTCGAGGACACTGCATTATATACGTCTTGAGCTCAGGGGACAGTGCAAATGGAAACATCTATTGGATCTTGACAGCTCTGTTTTTTCTTCCTTTTCCAATTAAACTTGGTGTCATTTCCCCACATTTCTAGCAATGCAATTGTTTGCTGTTTCAATAAGGAATTAGAAGTTAATTACCCATGTAGTCATGATCTCATTACCACTGACAGTGCCTCTATCATCTGTGAGATCAGAGCAGAAATGTTTTCACATAAATGATGTAGCTTTTTGCTGAAATGTTAACATTTATGCTGCAAGACAGGTTTTATTAATTTTTCAAATGAGAACTTGTTTTTGCCTTTGTACTGTTAAGCTACACTATCTTGCAGGCCTTAATTTATTGAAAAATTAGTAGTGTCAGCTTTCCTTCCAAAGACTAGAACATAACATTTTGTTTACCGTGAATTAAATTCAGCCTGGGAGGCAACGCCTGAGTAAGAGATGCATGTTATATAAAACCCCCTTCACTCCCCGCTCCCCTCAGAGGCCTGTGAGGCAGTATTTAGGCAATATGACAACCCTAGGACTGAGTTTGATTTAAGGACCATTTGACTGCAAGGTGGTTTGTGGCCACAGCCTCTTGGGCACACAGCATATCAGGTGCTGGGGCTTGGGTCACCCACCACCCCCAGGGCTCGAATGCTGATGCAGGGCATCGCACGTCTCCATTTTGAAGTGCAGGGTAGGAGCATGGGGCTTCGGAGAAGGGAATAACCTGTGAAATACCACTGGGCCCATGGGAATGATGGCTGGAAACTACTCACACACGGCAGCTTTCCCTCAGCTGGCGGCCACAGCAGCCAGCAACTCAAACCCTGGGGGCGCAGGAAAATGGCGGCTGTCTCTCTCCGTGTGGGGACGCCCTCAGGTAATGCCTGCGCTCCTTCCCACAGGGCTCTGTGTTTTGTACACCTTGCCCACCACTTTACACAGAAATAACTGTTTATTTGTCAAAAACATAATTTTTTTTGCATACTCGGGGCCTTTATGCCTGTATGTCTCGCCTCCCGCTCTTTACATTTTATTATTATTTATTTCCATTCCGGCTATGTGGGGGCCGCTCGCCCCGCCCCCCTCCGGCAGTCACGCATTGGCCCCTCCCCCCGGCGGTGCCCACCAATGGGGACGCGAACTTCCCGTGAACCGGCGCGAGG